GTCATTTTGTGTGTCCATGTTTTGAGCAGATAGTTGACTTCCTAGGCAGCGTGAAAATGATATATAAAATTTTAATCATGCCTTTGCATTGCTGGAATTAAATATGAATGTTTTCCTTATGCACGCTCAGGGTTTTCACAATCACACCAGTTACCCTGGCTTATATTATGCCCATTCTGTTTCCTTGAAGGAAATAACCCCCTAAGGTTAGCCAACACAACACTTCACAAACCTGAGCCATTACAACTCTGGGGCTCTACACATCACTTAGTCTGGAAAAGCCTGGTTGTGTGTAGCTGTGTAAAAATGTTGCTTTTCCAAGCTGCTCACTGCAGTGGTTTTTTTTGTTATTGTTGTTGTTTTTTGGTCATTAGATGAGTTATCCTAAATTTATTTTGACCTACCAAAACTAAATTCAAGAAGATTTCATTCAGGCCAGACATCTTTGTATATAGAACCAACTTATGAAAACTTATCCTCAATTTTTTTCCTTTAAAATCCTTCTTCACTTAACAGTGGGGGAAAAGGTAATTCCCATGAGGCAGAAGGCTTGAAGTTGGGCTGCCTGTTCACATGTAATAGCATGTAAACTCCAAATGCCAGGGTCCAAGCTAGCACGTGATTATAGTGCATGGATTTTAATGATGATGGCCCACTACTATTGCCCTCTATAAAAACAACCATGTGGAATCCCCATGGCCCATATAAAAATGTAGACAAATCGTCAGAACAGGAAAACAATCTTACTGTGGTTCTGACTCATATACACATATATATGTACATACAATATGCCTGTGTATATATCTACCCCGTGAGCGTTCTTCAGGGGTGAACTCCAAATCTTTGAAAACATTTAAAACCAGCAGTGCGTGCAAATTCAGAAACGATAGTTTTAAAGTCCCTAAACATTTATAAATTACTTTTACAACTTAAAAATGAGAATTCAGAAATCGATACATGGGTTTCTCTTTGTGGGACCACCTTTCATTAAGGATTTCAATCCTTTTTTTGAATAGAACTAAACTTCCACTTTAATATGAAAATTTACTTCAAACCCATTGTTTCAAAAAGTAAAATACAATGGGAAAATATTTAGCTGGTTTTAATCACTGGTGGGACTTGAGTTTGACCAATGTTGAAATGATTTAGAGCTGGGGTGAGTGTTGCTTCCAGCATTACAACAATAACAGCAAAGGTGGACATAATACAAATTAATGACTTTTCATGAACCCATTAGGGAACTGAGGTTGCAGAGCAAACAACAGAACAGAAAATTGGGGCAGTAGACTATTACAGCCTGTCTAGGAAACAAGAATTTTTTTCACCCGAGGCAGAAGCCATCAGGTGTCTTATAAGCTGATAGGAGCCAGCTTCTTTGTGAATTTACTGAGTTGCTCCATGCTAAGTGTGAGCTAGCGTGAGAGTGTGAAGCCCTTGGGCCACAGACAAGGTTTTCACCCTCTTTCCTCCATGAACTCCATCAGATGCTTACGGAGAGGACCAGCAACAAAAAGCTGTGATTTTAGGCCATTGTGGGAAATTATCATATCTGGGGAAGGGGTCAGGGTTAAAATTCTGTCCCCTGAGATGCAGAGCAGGAATGTGTGCGAGACCAATGCTGCAGGTGGGCCAGGGGCAGAATCACTTGTGAAGGCCAGGACCCAGGCTCAGTTTACCCTTATCTCCTGGATCTGCACCATCCTATTAACAAGCAACAAGTAAAATTCCCAGTGGAACGCAGCCGGGACATCTTTAGGAAGCATATTGCCTCTGGGGTTACTGGTATTAAAGGAAGACCCATAGCCAAGCAGGAAGTAGATTATGCGAAAAATAAAAACTAACAAACTTTCCTTCATCCTAAACACAAAATATCATTAGAGAACTTGGAACCACGTGATGCATCAAGGGTAACTATAGCAGGAACAGAAACTCCATCCTCAGCCAATTCCTCATCAGATTAGCTCAAATGCCCACACTGAAGGTCAAGGAGGAGAGACATACTCATCTCTAAACCCGCCACCAAAGTAAAAATCTTTTTACTTTGGTCTCATTTGTGCTACACAACTTTCCCAGTTTCAACAAAAAGTTATGAGGTATGCACAAAGACAAGAAAAAAACACAGTCTGAAGAGACAAAGCAAACATCAGAATCAGATGCAGACATGACAGAGATGTTAAAACTACCAGACAAGGAACTGAAAATTGCTATGATTAATAATTAAAGGAGCCACTAGAAAAGATAAACAACATGCAAGATCAGAGAGGTAATTTCAGCAGAGAGATGGAAACAAGGTCCTGTAAAATGCTAGAAATGTACTTGCTTCAATAACATACACTAAAATTGAAGTGCTAGAAATTAAAAGCAGTGGCAGATGCAAAATGCCTTTTATTGACCCATCAGGTGAAAAAAAGAATCAGTGAACTTGAACACATGTTAAAGAAATTACTGAAACCAAAACACAAAGAGAAATGAGAGTAAAAAACCAAACCAAACCAAAACCAACCTGTAGAGTATCTCGGCACTACTGTACAATACCAAATACCTAGGTCATCGGAATCCCAGGAGTAGGATTATTAGAAAATATATCTCAAGAGATGCAGAAAAATCCTTCAGTAAGATTTAACTTTCATGAAACTCTTACTGCTAAAGTAAGGCTGATGGCAACGCCTAAACGTTTGATTTTTTAAAATACCTTATATTTAACATCAAATTTAATGGTAAAATACTGAATGCTTCCCCTAGGTGCAGTAACAAGGCAAGAATATCCTCCCTAACCCCCTCTATCTCACATTGTTTTAATTTGCATTTACATACTATTGATGCAGCTTTTCCTAAGGCTTGGCCATTTAGACAAAGTCTTTTGCTGATTAAGTAATTCAAAAAATTGTTTTGTTTCTTCAGCCCGTTTGAGGACATGAATTTGGCAGCATCTTTAAAAGCTAATCAAGTCATGTATCTGTTGGGTTTTAACAGGACAATTTCTGCTATAATTGACCTCATATCAGAAATGTTTTAGCTTAATTTTGTTATTGAAAATTATACAGAAAGTTGATATACAGTAAGATGTTAAAATTTCCAATGTGTAAAAGTTATCTATTTTGAAAGTTAAAATGACCTCTACAGGACAATTACGGAACACTGTTAAAGGAAATAGAAGGCACAAAGAAATGGAAAGATATTTCTTGCTCATGGTTTGGAAGAACCAACATTATCAAAGTGGCCATTTTACCCAAAGCAATTTTCAGAGTCAATGCAATTTCAAAAATAAAATATCTGAATGACAGTCTTCAAAGAAATGGAACATATTGCTGAAATACATATGGATCACAAAAAAAAATCCCAAATAACCAAAGTTCTGACTAAAAAGGGGAAAAATAGAGGTATTACCCTTCTAGCCATAATAACAAAAACAGCATAGCACTGGAACAAAAGCAGACACACAGCTCAATGGAACTGAATTGGAAGTCTAGAAATAAAACCACACATATATGGTCAACTAATCTATGAAAAGGAGCAAAGAATATACACCGGAACAAGGAAAGTCTCTTCAGTTAATGGTACTGGAAAAACTGGACTGCCACATACAAAGGAATAAAGCTAGACTACTATCTCACACCAAACAAAAATCAACTCAAAAACAGATGAAAGACTTGGAGGTAAGTCCTGAAACAACAAAGCATACAGAAGAAAAAGGGCGAAACACTCTATGGCATAAACTTCAGAAACATCTTTGAGGACTAGTTTCCAAAAGCAAAGGAGAATATAAACAACTGGAAATACATCAAACTAAAAAGCTTCTGTACAGCGAAAGAGACAGCAACCCCAAATGAACAGAGAGCCTACAGAATGAGAGGAAATATTTTCACACCATACATCTAATAAGGGACTGATATCAAAGATCTACAAAGAGCTTATACAATTCAACAAAAACAAACAATCCAATCAAAAAAATGGGCAGTCGGGCTAAACAACACTTTTCCAAAGAAGAAATGCAAATAGCCAACAGGGATAAGTTACTTTTTTAAAGATTGGTAAAAATATACATAATCTTTAGCATTTTAACCATTTGTAAGTGTACACTTTGCTGTAATTAAATACATTCACAACGTGTGTAGTCATCACTCTTACTAATAACCATTTTTTTCATTGTCTTCAACATAAACTCTGTGTACATTAAATAATAACTCCCTATCACCTCTTCCTTCTAGCCCCTGGTAACTTCTACTTACGCTTTCTCTGAATTCACCTGTTCTAGGCACACTATCTAAGAGGTATTAAGCAATATTCCTTGTTCTGTGTCTGGCTTATTTCACTTTGTATACGGTTTTCAAGCTCCGTCCATTTTATAGTATACACCAACATCTCATTCCTCTTTATGGCTGAGTAAATGTCCATTGTATGTCTCTACCATATTGTATTTATTCATTCATTAGTCGACAGACAAGTTGTGTACGTGTTTTGGCTACTGTGAATGATGCTGCTTCCATTCTTTTGAGTGTAAACCTAAAAATAGAATTACTGCATCATACAGCATGTTCTATGAGTGATTATTTGAGGAACTCACGGTTACAGTAGCTGCACCATTTTACATTTCCATCGGCAAAGCACAAGGGTTCAGATTTTCTCCATCGCCAACACTTCATATTTTTCTTTTTCTTTATTGTAGCCATTCTTGTAGATAAAATGTGGCATCTCATTTTGCTTTTGCTTTGTATTTTCTTAACTAACAATAATGATATTGAATACCTTTTCAGGTTCTCACTGGCCCTTTGTCTATCTTCTTTGGAGAAACATCTAGTAAGTAAGTTGTAATTTCCTTGTGAGTTCCGAGTGCCAAGAGTACTAGCACTTGCCTCCCACAGACGTTCTGCACACCTTCCTCCACAGTCTGAGTTGTTCTCTAGCCAACATTATTTGCTATGCCCCATAAGTTTACAAACCCACAGTGGGGTGCTCTCTGCATTCTCATCACAGCTTCTTTCTTTCTCGTTGTTTTGTAGATCTGAGACCATCTGAAATGAACAATCAAACACACGTCACTGAACTCAGATTCCTGGGATTTTCCAACCACCCCAACCTACAGGGCTTGTTCTTCTTGATCTTCCTGGTCATTTACCTGATCACTCTTTTGGGGAACATGCTCATAATAATGGCCACCAAGGTCAGTCCCGCCCTCCACATCCCGATGTATTATTTCCTCAGCAACCTGAGCTTCTTGGACATCTGCTACACGTCCACCACCATTCCGGTCATGCTGGTGAACTTCTTCCGGGAGCAGAAGACCATCTCCTACGACGGCTGCCTGTCCCAGATCTTCTTCCTCGTGACCTGTGCTGGCACCGAGGGTGTCTTGTTGGCTGCTATGGCTTATGACCGCTACGTGGCCATTTGCCACCCCCTTCGATATCCAATCCTCATGAGTGTGAAGGTCTGTGTTTTTCTGGTGACTGGGTCCTGGATGTGTGGGCTGGTGAATTCCGTGACGCACACAGCACTGGCAGCCACGCTCACTCTGTGTGGGCCCAACCAGATCAGCCACTTTCTCTGTGACATCCCGCTGATCCTGAAGCTCTCCTGCTCGGACACCTCGCTCAACGAGTCTGTGCTGCACGTGGCCAGTGCCACCATTGGCCTGAGCCCCTGCCTGTTCACTGCCGTGTCCTACACACTGATTATCTCCGCCATCCTGAGGATTCCGTCTGCTCAGGGAAGGAGCAAGGCCTTCTCCACCTGTGCCTCCCACCTCACTGTGGTGGTGGTCTTCTTTGGAACAGCCAACTTCAACTATGACAGACCCAATGTAGGCGACAACCTGGACATGGACATCCTGGTCTCTGTGCTCTTCTGTGTTGTGACCCCGATGTTTAACCCCATCATCTACAGCCTGAGAAACAAGGAGGTCAAGGGTGCCATGAGGAAGCTGGCGAGAGGATGTATGTTCTCTAGTGACACCAGTGATTAGTTTCTCTTTTTGGAAAATTGTTTTTGATTTTTAAAAATATTTATTTTTATTTTTTGACATATAAATATAGAGCTCTGTATTAGTTAGTCCTAGGGTGATTTGAAGTGTGTGTATCAATGAAAGATTTTTATCAAAATAGGATGTGATCAAATTTGTCCTGCCAAAGAAAGTATCCAAAAACGTAATGACTGGACTCACTTTTCTCCAGATTATAATAAATAACGAACTTGCAGTACTTTCCATTTTTGGTTTTACCCACCACCAGCGACCCTTGCTCGCTTCACCATCTTGACTAGGAACTTCAGTTATCTATGTTTATCAGTTTCTAATTATTTTGCTTTGTCAGTTCATTTTGTTTCCTTATATTACTCATGTATGTGAAATCAGCCAATATTGTCTTTAACTTTCTGGCTAACTTCGCTTTCCAAAATCCACTCAAGTTCCTTCCATTTTCCTGTAAATAGTAACATTTTATATTCTTTATAATTGAATAATATTTCATCACGTGTATAGCTTCTTTATCCAATCCTTATTTCTAGGAACTTCTGAGGTTTTTTGTTATTTTTCAAGTTTTCCCAAGTACTTTCTAATTTCTGCTTTAATCCAATGGTTATTGTGCAATGTGTTGTTCAATCTCCATGTTTAATATTTTTCCAGGTTTCATATAATTTTTAGCTATGGCATTATTATCGGGAAGAGTGCTTAGTGTGATTTCAATCTTCATATGTTTACTGATGACTGAATGCATATGCTACAGTTTGGGGTGGAATGTTCTACCGATATCTATTAAACTTCTCTTATCTAGCTCATTATTCAAGGCTCTTGTTACTTTATTTCTTCTCTAATACACTTGGGGGGGGGTCTTATGTATATTTTATAGTTTGTCTTTGACTTTTTATTCTTGACTCCTTTTTTCCTGCTTTGTTTGGGTTTCATTTTTATTGCCTTATGGTTACTTCTGTAGTTTTTGTTTTGATGCTATATTTGAAACGTATGGGTGATGTGCACTTGTGACCTATTGAACGCTTTGTTCTCAAAGTCATTCTAATGCTCTGCATTTTTACCCTGCTTCTCCACTGTATGACTTTAATGTCTGTTACTTCCATGGGTGCAACCCTGACTCAGTGACTCAGCACCCGAGCACGGTCATGCTGCCGGCGCTGTGTTTCCAGACACACAGTCAACCCCAGAGCTGTAGCCGGAACAGTCTGGGTCTGGAGGGAAGGGGCTGCAAGAAACCCAACCAGACGAGGCCACATCCACACCTCCTTCTGCTCTCCCCAACCGGATGGAGAAGTCAGCCCTCCAAGTACAACTTCCTAATAGAAATCTAGCACTGACTTGGCACTTACAGCTATCCCAAAAGAGACAGAAGCTGATCTCTTCACAGCGAGTTGGGGGAAATGATCGTCATGACTTTAATGAGTCCAAGAGAGAATTAATTGCTCTTCATTTGCACACATTCTATTCTGTCTTTTGCCCTTGAGTTGGGTTTGCACTCCGAGGAGCCCCAGAACAGCTGCTTAGAGAGATCACACGGCTGGTCCCCCAAGGTCAGTTCACAGGCATTTATAAGTGTCCATGCTAGAAAAATGAATTCATTAAAAGATCAAAGAAAGATTTTCACTAGCAGTGAGTGTGCTCTACGCAGCCCCAGAATGGCAGGTTGTCCTCCTGGAGCATGGCGGTTGGCAGCCTGGCGGGCCTTAGAGTCTCCTGCGCAGCCCCGGAGCTAGAGCGGAGAGCAAGGGCACCCCGAGGCCGGAGTCATCGTGCGCATCGCAACGGAGGCAACGCGAGCTGCGCCTGAGTGCCAGGGTATGCTTATCTTTTAAAAGCAAGCTTATAAAATATGGTGCATACTTTCATTATCATTTTGATGGCATTTACATCCTGACTATTCCTACCTTTTTGCGTGTGTTAAACTCTACGCGAGTACTTACGGAACCGGAGTAGGATTACTTGAGAGATTATCTACTCCAGAATCCAAGTGGGGTCTGAACTCCGCCAATAAAATAATAAGATTGGAAAATTTGTGGGAAGCAATGTAGAATGCCAAGGCTTAGTTCTCTACTTGTGACAGGCAGGACAGAAGGGGTAAATTTTGAGGGAGAAAGCAGGACACACGCCTCCTGTAGTACATTACGGTGGACAACAGGTAGATACAATGTTTTTTAAGCTGATAGAATTAAATTTGCGTAGCACTTCTCTTTGGAAACATTCATTTGCTAACTGGAGGTTCTTCCTGTGGCGACATGCTGATATTTGGAAGGCTGGCTGCAAGCCAAACTGCACGGGGGCCTTGACGCTTAGGAATCGTTTTCCTCCCCCACTGTCATTTTTTTTTTTTTTAAGAAATCTCAAAGACTTATTCCTAAATAATTTCATCCTCAACCATTTGCCTTTTGGATGAGTAACTGGCTGGGAGAGAAAGAAGGTTGTTGTTCCCTGGCTGGGGGCTACACGGCCTCCATGGGAGCCATTGTTCTTATGAAAAGCAGAAAGTCAGGACACCCAGGAGCCCGGGTGCCACATCTAGGACCTCACGGGCTGTTATTTTCCCAGGTCAGGAAGGTGTTTGCACCAGAACCACTGGGCAGAAATCTCCTCCCAGGTTCAGCTGAGATGCCCCTTTTAATTTCTTCTTTCTCTGTGGGTCTCACGAAAACTCTGGGTTTTATGTTTTTCTTCCCCACCGACTTCAAGCTGGGTTGTTAGTCTTTGAGCCCCAGGTCGGGCCCCCACTCAGCAACGGTGGGCAGGGGGTTGGCGCCATCGGGAGCACCAGGCTCTGTGACGCAGGGTTGTGACGCCTCCTCCAGGGCCCCCTCCCAGGAGGTCAGCAATGGGGCCAACTCTTCTCTACTCTGACAGTCGACCCGCGAGAAAGAAATTCAAATGTTAACAAAGGCGCTGAGCTGTGCAGGGACAGGCTGGGGACAGGAGCCATGCCCGTGAGACACCTGTAGGCCCCCCCACCCCCCAACCCCGAGACTGAACACACCGGTTCGGAAATGACTGTGACACGAGAGGGCAGACCCGACGCGGAGAAACCCTCGTCTGGCAACCACTGCTTGTCCTGACGCTGCCTAGGGGAAGGGGCTCCTGGAGGGGAGGTAACTAATAATACAACCATTTTTATGTGTGAAAATCCAAGAAATTGGTTTGACTGGAGTGACCGTGAACTTCTGTTTGGTTGGATGGTTGGTTAGTTTACTTAATGTGGATTTGGATGAATTCTCAGGAAATTCAAAAAGCGTAGAGATTTTCCCTGTTTGGTGAGGAGCCTCTGTCTCACTTTGTCTCTTACTCCATGGAATGACTGTTCTTTGTCGGACAGTGAGTTGCAAAGATAAGGCTTTCAGAGTCAGAGGAACATGCGCGAAGTTCCAGGCTAGGGTTTAACCGCTGTGTGACATCAAGCATCAATTTCCTCACTGACAAATCCTAATAAATATTGTCCACGGGACTGTTGCGATCCATGCACGAGAGTGTGTACGAATGAGCAGTGCCCGCACCCCCGCAGCACTCAACCCGCAGCAGCTGGCATACTGGGGTTTCTGTTACCGATCATCGAGGACTACGCAGGGAGGAAGAAAAGCTGGGCCTGGCTCTAAGCTAGCGTCTTTCACCTGGAAATTAACATGGGCTGTAAACCGAGGGCTGGAAGGACACACACGAGACTGTTAACAGCAATGCCAGGCGGATTATGGCGCAGAGGTGAAGAACTTCCCGCTACATTTTATGTACTTTTGACTCTTATGAAGTTTTCCAGTGAGTTTGTGTTACTTTTGAAATTAAAAATCCCATCTATTTCTCATTTAAATAGTGTAGTAACAGGACGCCCCTTAAATCTCTTTGCAATTTCCTGTGTGTGGGTCATTGTTTCCAAGTAAAGGATGTGAAGTCCCTGCAGAGATTGCAGGGGCTGTGCAGTGGGACGTGCACTGAGCATGTGTCACAACGTCAGTGCCAATGACACTTTCACGCATGTGAAACGTTTACCTTCCTGCACGAGGTCACAGATGCTTCCAGGGGTTTCTCAAGGTAAACGAATAGGAACAAGCACAAGTCTGACGGCTCACGTGACTCACACAGTTTCCACAGCCTCACGCATGCCGGACCTTCAGGTGTGGAGGACACCAGTGGAGCAGTGGGCTCTCGGGGCTAAAGGGAACTGTAGTAGCAACTCAAGTGGCCTCCCTTGAGACTGCGCTGAGTCCTCTTTGCCAGAGATGTGGCAGCCTCGCCTGCGCCTGAACTTCTCCAGGAAGGGGCTCCCTCCCTTCCCCCCATGTGGACTATAAGCGCCTTCTCATCTGGCCCAGCATCAGTGAGTGAGACAAGAAGGTGCAAAGTTAAAGGACAAAGAATGCATGGAGAGGACGCCTTCCCGGCGATGGACGCCAGGCTCAGCCACGGGAGCAGCGCGTGTTGCTCAGTGGTCAGGACCAGGCACTCTCTCAGGCCACCGGGCTCGCTCCTTGGAGCCTCAGCTTTCTAATCTATGAAATGGGGTTACTGACAGCACCCACACTTCCAGGGGGGCTTGACAGTTCGAGGGGCAGCCCGCGAGGAGCGCCTGGCATGGAACATGTCCAACTGGCCTTGAGCGAGAGGCAGAGCAACGGCAAGCGAGAGGCAGAGCAACGTGCACAGGACAGGAGGACACTGGCCGCTCAGAAGCCCCGAGCCGCTGACCACAGATATGGCAAGAAGGTTTCCAGAGCCAAACATACCTCCTGGGGGGGGGAGTATCCCTGGGGAGTGAACATCGTCTGAGCGAGAAGAGCCCTTTGTTTTGGAAATAACGCAGCCCAAGTTGCATTCACGGTCTCTGAGAAGCAAGTCGTGGGCTTGTTCTCTGCGTGGTTTTAAAGGGATGTGTGACTTGGGATGAATGTGGGAGGAACAAAACTTGCAGTGATTCAGGAGAACCGAGCTCCGTCCAAGGACCCAGCCTTTATGCTTCTGCTCTCCAGCTTTCTACCTCACGTTCC